GAGGTGTCTTAGTGTGGTTTCAGCCACCATGAGAAGCCAGGACCGCTTCAGTGCCCGTTGTCATAGACTCTCTGAAACTCTATTCACTTAAAATATAGTCCCTCCTTTGGTGTTCTGATAATGGCAGTAAAGAGAGCTGTCTAACACCTCCACAATGTCCAAAATCTCTCAGAGAACTTCAGCTAGGTTTAAAGGATATTTTAGATTGGTTTGTAGTGTTCAGCTTGTCTAATTTTTGCTCTTAGATTAGTCCAATGCAAGTAAGACAGTGTCACAAAAATGATGACTGACGTATTTAAGCCTGGAAAGTTAGCCACCCTGTCCCAAGATTAACTGTGCACAAAGAGTCATATTTCCATAGTAACAACCAGTGACACCTGCTAAACTGTTGGATTCTTCTACCCAACGAAATACTGAGTCCTGCCACACTAAGAAGACACAGCATCTCAGCTCTGCGGCCTTGTGGTTTGTATGGAAGCATCTGCATTTGTTATGTTTCTCCACTTATTTATGCAGATTTTTCCTTAATAGTTACCCGTCTGTATCTCAGTCAAACCCCGAGAAAGATCAGCATCACCTTCCGCAGTCTTGCCCTCGTCTGACTTCGAACAGTCCTGTGTGGAGGAGAATTCAGAAACACGTGAATGAATGTTCTAACAAATCGGTCAACACTGTGTTTTCTGTATTGTGCGTTCATGCTCTCAGGTGTCCATCTTTGAATCGTCACTCACCACACCGATCAGTCCCGGGTCAGTTTCAGTCTGTTTCACTGTCACCTGGATCACCGGACTGGTACGTTTCCGAGCCAACATCGTCATGGCAACACTGTCTGGGACTGTGCTGCTCTTCCTATTAGACGAAGAGAAGAGACGGGGGGAGCAATTAAATGATGAAGCGTAACAGGCAGATAGAGAGTGTATGGAAGTCCATGCATCAATATGTCACTTTGAGAGGAACCCATCTGACCATCATTCTCAGCATCTCGTTTCAAATACCAAAATACACTCATTTATAGGGACGAGGGAGCAGTAAAAATACCTGTGTCTCGACTTGCTGTTTCATCTCTCCACAGGCACAGAAATTAGAAAGAAAAACAGTCATACAGGGAACAGGAAATGATGGATTTTCTTTTATTCGTCTCCGTGCAGATCTGAAGATCACTGACCTCTCCTCATTAGCTCGTTCATTCACCAAAGCTGCACTGAGCCTTTGAAATGGAGTGGAAAAAGTCTATATCCCACTCTGAGACACTTGATCATGAAATCAATCTCATCTCAAAGAAAAAGAGGAGTGAAAAAATAGGCACGCACAGAGAAATAGGAGACTAAAAATGGCAAAAGAAAGAGGACGTTAAGAATGTTAAGACACTCAGTTATACTTAGTATGAATGGCATTACTCTAAAGGGAGGTGTCAGGCCTAAATGTACAATTTCATGTTAATAATAAAGTTGTATCATTTGGGATTTCAGCCCTCTGGCCTAGATTCTATAATGACTAACCTGGCAGGGGAGCAGCTTCAGCAACAAAGAGCAAAATGCCACTTTGTTGAATGTATATGCTGCATATTTCTCTGAATGGCCTCTAATACATCCCACCGACTGAAGTGCAGGATTATTAAGTGTGTGTGGGGGGTTTACCTCATGCTAGCTGGCAGGCAGGAGTCTGAGGCGTTACTTTTTTTCTCCGGAGCCTTGCTGAGGTCAGAGAGGCTGCTGCGGACCACCGCTTCGCCCTCATCGAACATCAGGTGCAGCCGATAGTTGGCCAGCTTGATGAGGACGAAGAAGACGGTGATGGAGGTGCAGTAGATGCTCAAAGCCATGGTGGTGGGGGGCAGGGCCTGTGGAGAGGAGAGGAGAGGAGAGGAGAGAAGAGGAGAGGAGAGGAGAGGAGAGGAGAGGAGAGGAGAGGCATCAACATCTCCAGAGTCCTCACTAGAACAGTGTTTGATTAAATGCGTTGTGCTCTACAAAACCATCTCCTCTCATCTTATTGTACGTAGATAAAATTCTGCAGAAGGCAAAAGCTTATTTGCAGCCACACTTTTCCCGGAGTGTATCATAGGCTCAGTGAACCACGAGATCTAATTTGATTAACTGGTGGATTAATGAAGTTTATCGATCCCCGGGTTGTAAAGACCAGGAAGATTAAAGACGAAGCATCTGCATCATGCTGATACATGAGTCATACTGGGCTGGAGGGAGTTCTTGCTGTGTCAGATATGGACACTTCTTAATGTCTGCAGATACAATTTTACAGCCCAGTGTCATTTCATTCCTTACCTTTCTGCTGTTTATCTTGTGTGGGCTGCTGTGTGCGACCTTTGGACAAATTTGCTAATAAACCTGGAATCTGAGACATCTCTCCCCAGAAAGCACGTGTAGTTTTTGCAGGGGAAGCAGTGGGTGTTTCCAAACAGACTGGGAACTGTCTGCAACAACATTTTGATAGAGCTTTGGTGGCAAAGCTCTTGAGCTGTTACTCTCACAGCAGAATCTGTTACTTCCCTTCATTAACTCTCATCCGTGGGGTTATCTGAACACGCAGAACCTACAAATTAGCTTTTGTTTGTTTGTTGACTGAAAACGAGGGATGTGGGGAGCAATCACATCACATAATCTGCAATATATTTCATCTAATCTGGATTACGGTGGTTACTGATAAACCTTTGCTCCATGAAAATGTTCCTGAGAAATCGAGACATGGTATTACACTTATGTCTTCACACACAATGACACAAAAGCTGCCACTGTACCAGGCTGTGTGAGCATGATCAGATCATTGAGTGGCCACCCTTTCAGCAAGGCTGTTGTTGACAGTATACTTCATGCAGCTGAGGTCATGATGTTTGACCTGTGGCAGCAACTCCTCCTGGTTCCTCTACTGTATCTCTATTTACCTGCAAGATAAACAATTCCCAGATGGAAGCTCCTCAGTCAGGATATTATCACAGGGAATATGGCAGCCTGTGTTGTACCTATATTACAAAAGCCATGACATGAAAATATGAGTGAACCACAGTTTCACGCCTCCTGACTCTCTCTCTCCTCACATCCAGGAGCAGCCATGCGTTCCGTCACTGCATGCAGGGAAAAATACTGCGACAGTGCTGTTTTCTCCAGCCTGGTATTCCCCTCAGCCATACAATGAAGGGTGTTAGATCCTCGCAGAGCCACCGCACGTTTATCCATGAAAAGGATAAAGGCGCGCATGTATAAAAGGGAACTATGACACCGTGAGCACCTCACGCCCCCTTCGCGGCCTTGAACGTCATGTTCCCTCATAAAAACTCACCAGATGGAGAGACAGGGGCAACATCAGGAGGAATATCCACAGATAGAGGTGACAGGAGTTGTTGAATTTGTTCTGGTCCGGGTCGTGGTACCAGCCCCCGGTCACAGATGCCCACACTCCCTGACGCAGGGTCTGCACAACCTGGGAGCCCATCTCTCCTCCTCCTCCTCTCTCCTCCTCTCCGCTCAGGTTGGACGGAAGGATGATGCTGCTGCTGCTGCTGCTAGGCTACAATGAAATGATCTCCTCTCTAATGCATGCTACTGTCGCTACGCCTCCATGTTGGGGCGATACAGCACGTCTCCTGAGCCTCCTCTCTCATGCCTGATCGGTCTCCCTCGCTGCTGTCCTCTCGGCTGCCTTTTCCCATCCCAATGTCGATTCGTCCATTGCTGCTGCCGCGGTCCTCATCTTGTCCTGTTCGTCTCTCTCCTTCGCCCTCTCCTCTCTGGCTGCCTGTACAGATGCGCAGCTCTGACCGCCTCCCCTCCCTTCCCACTCCTCCTCTCCGCCTCCCTCCCTCTCCATCCTTTCCTATTATATGGTTCGCACCTTCACTGTTTATCTGCGCGCACGCACACACACACACACACACACACACACACACACACACACACACACACACACACACACACACACACACAGACAGGCGGTTTTCAGGCAAAACCAGTCATGCACTGAAGCCACATACTCCATAATGTGTTGACTATATGCAAGCCTGTGTATGCACGTGTGTAATGTATGTGTAGCTACATGCATATGTGGGTTTTACTCAACATGTACATAGCCTATATTGATAAGGCCGGATTTATTATAAAAAGACAATATACATAAATACACTGTGTCCTTATTATTTATTAAGTATTATTTATTATTATTTCTATAGTAGTAGTATATGATTACAGTATTATGTTTGAGGCTATATCTATCTATCTATCTATCTAGATAGATAGATAGATAGATAGATTAAACCACAATGTGTTGACTATATGCAAGCCTATGTATGCACGTGTATACAGTATTAAAGGCTAGTGTTTTAGGCCATATCTATCTATTAACATATCTAGATGTAGCCTAGATAGATAGATATAGCCTAAAACACAATGCTGTAATCACATACTACTACTACCAATAGTAATGATAGCAATAATAAGAATACAGTGTATTTATAATAATGTCCTTTTACAATAAATTCGGCCTTATCCATTTAGGCTACGTGCATGCATATTGAGTAAAACCTACATATGCATGTAGCTACACATGTTACCCTCTAAACATACAGTATCTATCTATCTATCTATCTATCTGATAGGTAGATATAGCCTAGATATAGGCCCATCTAACTGTATCGTCCTGTTCATTTGTTATTGTCACCGGAGGCAAATTCCTTGTGTGCCTATTAATACCTGGCTAAAACAGCAGTAGTATCACAAAGGTAGTAGTTACAGTTTCACATTTAGTTTCTTGTTCACACTGCTGGTGTTTTGAGTGTGTGTGAGTGTGTGTGTGTCATATTATATGGTCCACTATTCCCATAATTTCCCTGAAGGCGCGCTCTCCTCACACATTCCTATAGTAGCTCCTCCCTCCTCCCCCCTACTGCTGCGGCGGTCACGTGTTCTGTCATCCACCAATCAGAGGCCACCACAGCCAGCAGCGAGAGCAGCACCAGCGTCCCTCTGCTCCTCCGCTCAGCCACTGCTGGGTCCGACTTCGTCTGGCGACAACGTCGATGGGGGGGTTGTTTTGATTAAAGTTGACGGATTTTTTTTCTCCACGTTTCTGTTCCCGCACTGTTGAGTTCCGGGACGTTTTGACGTACTTTCTGAGTGTTCACACCGTCTGCTTTTCTTCCTGCTCCCGGAGGAGAAACTAACTTGGGAATAACCGATCTTTAAGTTGAGAGGAGCAACTTTTCCAACTGCCTTACTAGTCAACGGGCTGACCTATGCTAAGCTAACCCCGCTAGCCAATGCTGTTGAAATCCCTGTTTAAAGTCCACAAACGAGCAAGAGGACTTTACATGTCGGGGTACGGTCACTAGACGGTATTTACCGACTACTTTCCATGAGAAAGCTGCCGCTCGGAGCTTCACTTTACCCGGTCTGAGTTGACTGTGCAGGTGCACCTCTTGCGGCACCTGCGAAAACTTGGTAACTTAGCTCCATCGTTGGAAAGCTAACTTTAGCTTGTCGCATTAGCATTAAACAGAAGCAGATACTATAGTGTGGAGCTACTCTTCTCTCATGGCAGAGATTGTTTGAGGTTTAAGACATGAGTTGTTAGTTTCAACGTGTATATTGCTGTTTAACCGTCAGCCGTTAAAGTGGTGACATTAGCTAAGGCTAACCGTTGCTAGCAAGTTGTGACCCTCATTCACTTTTACCGGAGTGGCGACGTGGATACAGGGCTGTGGACGCTGTCTTTCCCACAGGACTTTGGACACGGTTTCTTCCTGCCCCGGGCTGCGCAGGGTATGCCCCTCTCTTATCAGCAGCTAGTGTAGATGTGACAGCATGCGGATTTCTCAAAGTTACATTTCACCGTTTTAAAGTTTTCGTTTTGTCCTAAAAGCTCTGCACCCTATGGTGCCGCTACGGCCACCGAGAAATGGATGTCTCGCAGGCCGCTTTCCCAAACGGTGAAGGGCGGCCGGGCGGCGGTGGGACAGGGGAGCATGCCTGGACAGATGCCCCCACGGTTCGGGCGTGGGCTCACTCCGCCCCGCTGTGCCCGACCCGGTCCCTGTGGACAGCTGCGTATGACTACGAGGCAAGCGGCGAGGACGAGCTCAGCCTCAGACGCGGGGACGTGGTGGAGGTGCTGTCCAAAGACGCAGCGATCTCCGGGGACGAGGGATGGTGGACGGGCAAAATCAACCACCGGGTCGGGATTTTCCCCTCCAACTATGTCACCTACCAGCCCGCTATTTACCGTCTCCCTGCAACGAGTGTCTCCGTTGGGGCACGAGAGCAAGTCCCGAGCACGCCTGTCCAGATCCCCTTCAGTGAACTGGTACTAGAGGAGATCATAGGCGTGGGTGGATTTGGCAAAGTTTACCGAGGCACATGGAAAGATCAGGAGGTCGCCGTGAAGGCGGCTCGGCAGGACCCAGATGAGGACATAACAGCCACCGCCAGCAGTGTTAAACAAGAAGCGAAACTTTTCTCCATGCTGCAGCACCCCAACATTATTAAGCTGGAGGGAGTGTGTTTGAAGGAGCCCAACCTGTGCCTGGTCATGGAGTATGCCCGAGGCGGGACACTGAACCGGGCGTTGACCGGAAGGCGCATCCCTCCACACATCCTGGTCAACTGGGCCGTGCAGATTGCACGCGGGATGCTGTACCTACACGAGGAGGCCGTGGTACCCATTATCCATCGTGACCTGAAGTCTAGCAACAGTAAGTAAAGATTGAAGTGTGTGTGCATGTGTGTGTTTGACGGAGAGAATTAAAATGAATAACATGACTTTGAGAGAAAGGGGGGACCATCCACCTGTTGCACATGCAGCTCATCTTCCTTTAGTTATTTATAGTTGCTTGTTGGTTGCACTTGAGTGTTAAAGCTATAAAGTACATAGCTTCTTCTAAAACAATTATTTTTTCCATGTGTCAACCTGCCACACAGATAGTGACTGCTTAATATCACATTAATGACATTGTGGCACTGGGAAATGAATGCCTCATGCTTATAGGTCATTAGGAAAACATAGTTTCGCCATCACTGCCTAAATTGAGGTTGCTGCAAACTCATTATGCACATATATTTCACAACATCACTGGTGCAGCGCTGCCTTTTACTCAGGATGGATTTAGAGAGGTGTAAAAGGTCTGTGGGTGTATGAAGTGGTGGGGGATGCCATCAAGAGGATGTGAAATAAAGTCAGAGTTTGCTCAGCTGGGCTGCCCCCCCTGCAATCACCCTCCTCATCCTTTAACACACACACACACACACACACACTTTCCCAGCCTCCTCTCCAATCCAAACTGAAATCTTGTTCAAATAAAGTCAGTAATTTACCAAACACATAACCAGACACACTCGGTCTACACTGTCAGGCCATGTGCTTGACCAACCAGAGCTAATACCAGAGGTCACAGGGTAAAAAGAAGTCAGACAGAGAACCTATCTAGGTATAGTAATCGGGAATACAATTTACTTAATGCAGGAATGACTGCTTATTCAGTAGGAAATGTAGTTTCACAATTGCTGCAGGCATTCTTGTATGGAAAAATAAATGACATTGAGTATTTGCAGGTCTCATTTTTGAGTGGGGTCATGTAGTTGTAACTTGGTCATCCTGTGTAATAGGCCAACAACTGTGCTAGTCCCTCCATGGACTGGTAATTGACAACAAGCCAGCAAACTTTAGTTTCCCAGGACTAAATAATGAATGGACACGACTCGATAAAAGAGAGTCTGAGTCATATACCCACTGACACGGGCTACCCACTTCAACTCAGGTGTGTTTATGTGTGTAATATGACTCCAAACACTATTTCTCCCTTTGTGATCAGAGACTTATCAACCTTGGGGCATGTTGGGAACAGCTCTGGTGTACTTATGTGTGTTTATCTCCAGCTGTGGGAGTCAATGTGTGAATTTAGAGACAAAACATGTGAAGTGTACACAGACCAGACCCTCCCTGACCACCAGATTAAGACACTAATTGGATTTGCCTCTAGGGCTGCAACTAAGGATTATTTTCATTGTCAGTTAATCTGTTGATTATTTTCTTGATTAATCAAATAGTTGTCAGGTATATAAAATGTTAGAAAATGGTGAAATATATGGATTAATGTTTCCCAAAGCTCAAGATAACATCCTCAAATGCCTCGTTTTGTCAACAACCCAAAGATGTTTAGTTTACTGTCATAGAGGAGGAAATAAACTATAAATATTCATATTTAAGAAGTTGGAATTAGACATTTTTTGCCCTTTTTTATCATAAAAAGATACACAAACCGATAAATCGATAATCAAATAAGTTGCGGGTTTGGGCAGCTCCCATTGCCTCCCAGCGTTTCACGTAAGGTCCTGTGTAGATTGACCGTGACATGCGTGTGCATACAAGTCAAACAAACATACGCCCAGTGATCATATGATGCAAACATGCATGTTTATAATTTCAGTTAATAAATGGCGGGGATGGTGCAAGCATGACAAAGTTTGCACCATGCCAACCCTCACAAATGCCACTTATATTCACAAATAATAAAAGTGAAATGTGGCAAATCTAAAATTTAAAAATCTAAAAAAAATCCAGACCTAATACCAATAATTTAGAATATATTTGTTATACAGTACGTAGTGGTTTAAGCACAAAAATAAAACTTATATACTCAATAAAATGAAATAATTACAATTTCCAATGTGGAATATCTGTCACTGTGTTTAGATGTTAATTTTTCAAACAATTTCAAACAACACTTTGAAATAATGTAATTTATATGCATATAATGCCCCTGATGCCATGATTAACAGCGCAGAGGAGCCCAACCCCAAAAGTAGTCTTATTTAAGATGGAAGATTTGTGTTAATTATAGGGCAGATGGAGAGAAAGGATTTAACTGCTGTTTAGACTCTTTGGGCTAATCGGATGTTTGGTGAACATACACATACAAACTCCCCCCAACAGGCACAGTGCTGCGAACACAAGTCAGTGTGTTTGTCCTGCCACTTCACTGTGACCTAGAGACAGCATAGGCTTAAGTAAAGAGGGAGAATTTAAAGTTAAGCTTATGGGAGACTGGGCTGTAGTGAAACCTGGGAACTCAGTGTGTCACCTGAAGATTGTAGGCGAGTGGAATAGATATGTTTTTATGAATTAATTCTTCATTTCCACAGGCCAAGACAGACATTGAGTTTTCACCAGCACTGTCACTAGTTGCAGGTGCTCGTCCTGGGGTCAGAAGTCTGAACATCTGTAGTCAATATATGGTCTTATCTAAATAAAGAGGGAATGAAAGAAGCTGTATATGTTTGCTTTGAGCCAGGGCAGTGAGTTCACAAAAGACTCTCTCCTACACACAAACACACAAATGGCACCCTGTGGTGTGTTGGGTTGTTTTCCTAGTAAAAACCTAGAATAATGCAGCTTAGAGAAGTTGTTGGATCTGCTGGTGAGGGCCTGTTGTCTGTTTGTCTTGGCGTTGGATGTGTGTCGGTCAGTCTAAAAGGATAAAAGGAGTGAGAATTATCTACACGGGGGGTAAAATAGAAAATGGATACATCGCAGTAACTGGTTGTTAATCAGCAATCTGTCACTTTTTTAATAATTAATGAGCACCATGTCTGTTGCTATGGCTTTTCTATTTCCTGTACATACTGTCAGTTTGTTTAACTCCAGTATTTTTCCCAAACCAGGACACAGACAGGTACATATACACAACTAAACTTCTCCACCTTCACTCAACTACTCGGCCTGTCATTTATCAACTTGCAGTGTACACATGCTCCACGCAGACAAATATACAGCTATTTGATCAATGATTAGCCTGTAAAGTAATATGTTGGAAGTCAGCAAGATTTGTCCAATCTCTTTTGTGTTTTTCAACCTAATCTGTAAAATCCCAGCCTGCAGGGAGGAATGTTGCTAATGAGGGATAAAAGCTTAACATACGTTTGCACAATGGACTGGTCAAGCAGCGGTTGCTAGGCTACTGTGGCCAGAAGAATGGCTAGGACTCGGAGGGTCTCAAAGCCCTCGTTTTGTTTTGTTCCGTTCATATTTAATCTCCCAGAGAGCAGCGGTACTCTTTTATTGCCACAAACTGAGGGGGTTTCCCTTCTTACTTCGTTATTTTTCTCCTTACTTACCTTCCTCCCCTTGTTCCTTTCTGCTCTGTCTTGCTCCTTGTTATTTTTTCATGCCTACTTTTTTGGGCCAACACAGTTTTCAAACTATAAATGCTGGAGTTACCTTTTCTTTTTTGAATATAAAGCAAAAACATCCTGAATACATTTACATTATTAAAGAATTCATCTTGCCAACCAGCCTTGTCTGTGTAGCTGCAGCCTGATATAGCATATGTCTGTGTGCCATAGAGCTGTCATCCAAATACTACTGCTTACTAATACTTTTGTATTGTTATAATGATATTAATTCATTAAAATAAGTATGGGCACTGTTGTTCTGCTCTGAAGCAGCTGCACTGCAATTTCTGGACAGTGGCTCCATGCAGGCAGACGTCACTGTGCATGCTCAGAGTTTATGTTTACAACACTTTGTTAATTTGACAAGCCGCCAGGAATAAACTATACTTGCAGTCTTCATTGTAATGAAAGCATATATCCCTTAGATGCAACAGCATATCAGCATAGTCCTGTGGAAAGAAGCATTTGTTATATTAGACTCTGGCAATGCAGACAATACTAGTTAATAGAATGGTGGTTGGTCTTCTTAACCAGTGTTGAGGGGATTTGTTGTTTATCTTAGTCTTCCATTGACCCCTATTTATTTCCCATCTTACAACTTTGATGTAAACATTCCTCCTCAACAAGGAGTGAAAGTATTCATAGAGCAAGAGATAGGAGACACACTGAAACCTGGCCCTGAGCCAGCACGCATAACCCACATTGACTTTGGAGTTTCGCGTCGTGGTGCGAGCGATAGTATGCCAGGAATGTGTGCTCGAGCGCCACTGAAACCGATGGAGTTCAGTGTGGAGCGTGCGCAACAGCATTCTCCCATCAATCTTAAGCTATTGTTAGACTTCATCACACTGCATCCGTGTTCCCCTCCCTCTTCCCCGTGTCTGTATTCATTCACCTGTCATTCTGCAGATCTGTGACAACCTGACAAAAGTCATAGAGGCACAGAAAGGATTTGCTTTCATGGCAGTGCAGTGAAATCGGTATAGATGGAGAGAGCATGAAGGACCCGATTTTGACTTTGTGGTCACAGCAATCAAGGCACAGTGCTAGGGCTTGTGCACATGACAAGTGCACCTGTTGTTTGTGTAACACTGCACAAAAGTAAGTTCAAACATAAATAGGTGGGTTATTGTGATGAAGCATAATCTTAGTCTGACAAAAATGGCCCGTGTGGGGAGGACAAGATGCACGTTCTGTAAATTGCTTTGGACAAAAGTGTCTGCCAAGTGATTATTACAGCTATATTAAATATATTCTTAAATATAATTATACTGTTTACATAATTGCCCACAAAGGTGAATCCTCATGTGGTTTTATTCCTGTAGTACATTTTCTTTCTCACTGCCATAAATCCTATTGCAATTAAAAATATGCATTAAAAAGATAGAAATTAGGGATGCACCTATCACACGTTGTCTGTCCTGACACTCAATATTTAGAAAACAGACACCTACTCCCATTGCTAGCTAATTTGCATGCACCTTTCATTTTATTTTGCCTGTACTCCCACTGCTGCACCATTAAG